ACGGGTGGATGAATGTGGATGGCCGCAGCATGAAGAGCGCCTTGCTCAACGTCATCAAAAAGTGGAGCTTCATGTTCAAACAGCACCTAATTGACAATGTAACCAACAGGTGAAGTAATATTTCATACACTTGGGGGTTTTACTACAAGTAAGCTTTGCTTGGTTGAGTGAAATCCTTTTCTTATTACAGATATTACCATTAAACTTCAACTCAAAGCAATTTTGCAATAACCTTCTGCTTCATCTTTAATACATTGTAATGATTTTCTTGTGCACAAAGTGAAAACATTTTCTGTTCAAAACTCTCCCTGACTAGTCAATAATAGCAATCTGCCAAAGTGCACCTAGCTTTTAAGGGGGATTGGAGAATGCACAGTTTCTTTAAATGCATGCACACTGAACACAACCATGAACCATGCTTCTGGTGTAGTGATATTTTCCACCGTTAAAACAGCGGATGTGGACATGTTCTAAATGGACCTGTGTCGTTTACTCTAACCAGTACACATTGTTAAAATAGAGCCCAGCGTTATATCCTTATACCACTTTTTATGCTTATAAAGGCAGTCTGCGTTTACAGATGTCTCTGATGACAATGTGTGTCTGTGTGTCGGTGCGAGCGAGCGAGAGAGGGATAGGGAGAAAGAGAGTGAGCTGAGTCAGGAGCGACTAAATGAATTAATGTGCACAACTATGAAGAATTTGACCAATTCAAGAAAAGTATCAATCATGATGTGGTAGCTATTGTGGCAGTCGTTTCAAACAAATCCACATATGCACAATGAGAAGCATGAAAATACATTTAACCCGAAGCAGGCCCGAGAGGTCAGCTGAGTAGGCGGTCCTTTATATATGGCCCAGGCTGCAATTGTGTTCGTTCACTCAACTTAAAGAATGTGGTCACGTGTCCACATCTCCTCCAAATGTGGTTTGATTGGTCTCATTCAGGATGCACTGGGGTGCTTTCAAACCTGTACTTAGCGCTGAATACTAAATCTTAATAGGGTCTATGTCACCACTCATTCCAGAAATAGTTGTAGCGATGACCGGGGGTGAGGACATCAGAAAGATTTTCAGTTGGTGTTAATTTGCTTTTTAGGTTCCTCTTTGAATAATTGACTATTTATATTTAAATTATTTGTTCAATGGCACGTTTGTAGCCATGGATTACTTTTCATACTGTGTGCACATCAGTGCCAGATCAGAAGCAAATCCTGCTGTTTTAACTTGGAATTTAAGACTATTAAAGTGGTTCAATGACTTCAAGTGTCTTTTTAGCATAGAGTCTAACATATTCCATCTACTCTTTAAGCTTCAAACTCCAAAATAATATAATTTATAATGCAGGATTTCTTTTCAAAGTCAGAGTGTTCTCCATTTCCGAACTGAGATGACCCCTGCCGACATCATGTGGGGTCACAACTGATTTGAGTTGTACTGCTCATGACAAGTAAATCTCTTGTAAATTTGATGAACCTCTTTAATGATCAGAGTCA